ATAGCCTTCCCCTGTCCCACCCTGGTTTAGAGGTGACAGCAATAACAACGCACCCTCAGCTGCCACGACCTGAGCCCAGAAGGCATCAACTGCATGAAGATGGCCCCGGGGTCCCAGCAGCTCTGACACAGCCTGGGGAGACAGTAAAAGCCCCCAAGGACACCGAGGGACCAGGCTACACTGCCCACCCCCCTGCCCTGAGAAGAATTGTACCATCTCTGCCTCTCTCCCAGGCTTGCTGCCCCGCAGGAACGTCTGAGGGACTCAAGGAAAGACGTTCCAGTATCTGCAATTGGTTTTCAAACTCTGGGATCTCCCCATCTTTATTCCACAGCCACCAGCTGCCCAAAGATGGGGAGAGCACGACTCCCAAAGCAGCTTGTTTTGTGCTCTGAACAGTCAAGTCTGCCTCGGGGCACAAAACAAGCCAAGCCCGGTGGGAAGTCTCATTTCTTAAAAAGAAGGGATTTTAAAACAATGATTCAAGTGTGCTAACTCCTCTCAACCTCCTCCCTGGCTATAAACGAGGCCAAAACTCACCCTCGTGCAGAAATCAGGTTCAAAGTTCGACCAATTTGTGTGGGCTACGACAGCCTCATGCCGCCCCGGGGAGAGGGCCGGGCAGTGACAAAGGCAATCCACCTCCCTGGGCAGAGCTGTCACCGCAGAGCCCTGGGCTGAACCCGGCTCCAGAAGCCCGGGGTGAGCTTGGAGCAGGATCCTGGAGGAAGAGCTCCAGGCAGGGGCTGGCCCAGGACGCGTTCAGTGACAGAAATACCGGGTATCGCTCGGCCTGAGAGGACTGGTGCGTAGACAAAGGAGCTGGCTTGACTCGAAAATGGGCTGGAGCAGCTTCTCAGCAGGCCGAAGGCAGCGAGTTGCTCTCCACCTTCAGCCCCTTGCTGGCCAGGAAGGCGTCCTGCTTGGGCTCGCGACCCAGGAACTTCCTCAACATGTCGGAAGCATCCAGGGACCCACCAGGATGCAGGATGCAACTCCTGTAATCCATGCCCACCTGCGAGGAGAGATGGGAGGGGGGGTATGCATAGGACCCTGGCCCTCTGGCAGGGGAGGGCAGCCCCCGCCGTGCACCCGGAGCCCGGTGGCGCAGGACGTCCGTCTTACCTTACAGTTCATGATCCCCTCCTGCTTGAAACGCGTGTGGAACATGTCCATGGAGAACACTTCGCTCCAGAGGTAGCCGTAGTACTGCGCGTCATAGCCTCCGGCCAAGTGGCCAAACGTCGCCGGCATGTTTGTACCTTGGAGGGAAAGGAAGGGAAGGGGCGTCAACGGGAAAGGCCGCCGGAACCGCTCACGGCATGGAAAAACCTCTCCGTGCTCTGAACGTGTCAGAGCGGGCAGTGGGTCAGCTTGTTCACCATCCCAGGGGAGAACTTCCAGTTATTTTTGCACAGTTTCAGCCCTGCTTTTCCTGGAGCCAGCAGAAACTGTCCCCACTGAGCCAGCCTGAAGCCCCAACCTTGAAAAGAACTTGCTGAGCCAAGCTTGCAGGCCAGATCTAGGTGAGACTGCGAGAGCAGGACCCCCAAGCCCCTGGGTACCTGGGGTGGCAGGGACGCCCAGCACCTCTTCACACAGCCGGGCAAACACCTCCACGGGGTCAGCCTTCGTCTGGGTGTGCAGCGCCTGGTCCACCTTGGCCAGGACGATCTGACGCAAGTTGAAGAGCCCTGTTCCGCAAAGGAGAAAGCAAACTGAGCTCCTGCCCGAAGGCAAGGGCATCCTCCAAGGTCATGGCACAGCAGGGCAGGCTCCCACAGTTCTTACACCCAACGTCTGACCTCTAAGCCGCAGCCCCTGCCTCCAGACAATCCCTGCCTTGGCCGCCCGCTGCACCTCCTGCCACGTCACC